CCGGTGTGGGTGTGAGGGGCTGCCACGATGGGTGTGAGAGGCTGTGAGCCTTTCCGTGTCCTCGAGGAGGCTTATTTTCATTCTGCTCAGGCAAGCACTTTGTTCCTCCTGAGATGTCGGTGCACAAACCCTTGTTGTGCTTCTGGTCTGCTTTCAACTGCGTGTCCTTGGTACCCTTTCTGGCCAAAATCTTTCAATGTCCCATCCATAGGAGTTGGCTGCATCCAAGTGAAATTCATAGCATGCCAAAGGGAGATCAAGGCTCCACAGTGCTCTCTTATTTGGATATAAACAGGAGAATTAGTCAAGAGGCTCCAACTGTGCTATTTTTTCTTTAGCTTATACGCTGAAGTAATGTTTGTGCTCTTACAAGAGCTCTCAGGCAGCTTGCTGAACCCGATCCCATCTTGGCCCTGCTTTATGGGACCATTTTGGCCTGGGAATAATAGTAGGAATCTGGCTAAATAAATATTTTTAATAAGAACACAACACCTGTTGTGTTCTTGACATTGGAGACTGTGTCGTTGTGCTGAGCGCTGGAGTTGTGTTGGCTGCAACAATTAGCTAAAGTTTGTGCCCTTTGTGGGATTAACTCCACAAGTGAGACTGGGCATGCTGTGGGCAGTATTTCCAAGCGTGGTTAGTAGCTAGTGGACTTTGTTTTCAGTATTATGTAATAAGTGTCCACAACGTGCAACGTGCTGCAAGCAGCCTGTTCCTCTTCTCCTTTTCTTCACTTGGGGCTGTAAGATACTGCCTAACTTCGCCAGAAGTGACAGTGGGACAGGAGTCAGGTGAGAGGCCAGACTTCACTGCAAGCTCAAGCTGCAAACGTGTATAGGTCCCAGGTCTTTGACAAGTGGCATCATGACAGTGAGCATTTGTGTTACAGTGTTGCAGGACTAACTGCAGTAGGTTGCAAAGAGGTGGCTTTTTGTTGTCCTGCTTTTTGAGGGAATTCTGTCTTCCTGACACACTACCACTCCTTGTGTGCGCTGGCGCGGTTTGTGTGCTCAGTGCATTCACCTGGGAGGTGTGTCTGTAGCATGTGTTGGTGTGCTGGTCGGTGAAGAAGCTGTTGTGCACACAGGTGCTGGGGTGAATTGAATGGTTAAAGAAGCAGCCAGCATGCTTGGTGGGCTTGTGCAGCTTGCTCTGATGGAGGTGTCATCACTTCTGTGGGATCATTGACTGGCATAGATGGATTAGAGCAGCAGTGGTATTTCCAAACTGAAGCACAGTTGCTTGTCTTGTCATGCTCTGCTGTCTTTTTAGAGCCCCATGTCTACAAATGCTTGTGTTTAGAAAAGGTAAAAAATGAAAAGGAGAGGGGAAATGAAACTTATCCACTCGTTACCTCTCAAACATCTTCCTAAACAGTTTTAATGTTTCATTCTGTCTGTCTGTGAGAGAGAAGGGATGAAAAAAAGTGGGTCTTTGTGGGTCTGTGCAGTTCTGTCTGTGATATAAAGGCTCCTGAGGGAAGTGTCAAGTGGGGGATCTGGAAATGCAGAAACAAGTCTCAAATGAGGCTGCTGCCTTCTCCTGTGGTCACCAAGAGTTTTCAGGAAACACAGGAAGGGATAGAGAGTGTTCTTCCGTAGGCTTTTTGTAACAATAATGAATGTGGTGTCAAACTGATAGTTCTACTGGGGAGAAAAGGTGTACGTTATGGCAGTAGCCCCACATCAATGCAGCAGAAAGGGCTAGGCAGGACAGCAAAATACAAGGTCCTGGCTGATTGATTTAGGGCTGTGTTACACTAAGAAGGTATTTCACAATTAAGTATTTCTCATCCACACTATCATGAGGAAGATATAGTACCCCTATAAAATGGAGAGATGAAGCTTGGAGATAGGTTAGTAGAGATCTATAGCATTGGAAAAATATGTTTAATAATTTAATCAAAGTCCTTTTATTAAAAAAAACATAAAAACCTGTTTGTTTTCGGAGAACAACATGCAATGTTGTAACCTGTTGAACTCTTCCCTCCTCAATGAGAAAAGTCACTGACAAGGGATCTTTGAGTTGTATAATCCAGTATAAGGTGGTGTTGTCCTGTTGCGCGGAAGGTCCTAGGTATAACATCTTGGTTGTTAAAGAGAGTGATTTCTAGTTTCTCCACCTAGAAGTGATCTTTAGGTTTTCCATAAAAATAAATATTTTTCATTAAATACTGTGAGAAAAATTGACGTGTGTTCGGTAGCTGAGGCCATACTGTGAAGGGTTTGCGTGACACATTGTTTTTAATGTATCTAGAGCAAAGGGATGAAGGTGAGCGAATTGGGTCTGTTTTGTAGTCTGAAGAAACAGCAGACACTTGGAGGGAAGACTAGGACTTGCTTGCAATAGGGAAGATTTCATGAGACGTCTTTTAGCCATTTGTATCTTTTGTATACAAAAAATATGTACTGAGGGAAGAGACAGTCAAATAGTCAAATGAGTCCTTTGTGTAATTTTGAATATTGTCTTCTTCCCATATGTGCTGATTATTGTTGTTTTTTGGTTTTTTGTCTAATCAGTAATGTTCAGAAGTTCTACTGTTCTGCTTACTGTAGCTCTTACCCTTTTTTCTACATCAGCAGAAATATTTGTGTATTCTGTTCTAAATTACACCTTTAAATATGGACACAATCATTATTTTGTTAGTGTGTTTCAGCACTTTCAAACTGGCTAAAGTGTAAGTTCTGTGTGTGCAGTTATAGCTGCTGTTGAAGTTCTGTGTGTGCAGTTATAGCTGCTGTTGTGGTTCAAGCACAAGCTAAATGCAAATACTTGCTTTCCTATATTTAAATCCAATTTCATCTTTCCTGCAATCTTCAATTTTAAAAATGACTTATTTTAAAAATTTCTGTAATGTGCCAACATTCAGTCTGCTTTTCATCCAGATCTTGAAACATTGTGTTTTTAAACGTAGTTACACTTAGCAAACAGCAATACTCCTTGCAGTTATGTGTGTATGACTGGGTCTTGGAAAGAATACATACCAATTAGTTTTTACACTCCATCTGGAAGCTCTTCCTTACATTGCTTTGTGACTTGGCTCTGCTTAGGCAATGGGGTTCTTGCGTTGTTTTGCGCGCTACCCCTGGGGTGGCTTTTCAAAGTCTTGGATTTCTGTTGTGATGTTTGCAGGATATGGATGGTGAATACCTTGTGAAAATACGGTCTTGTTTGGGCCCATAATATTTGGGTGGCCAAAGTTACTAGTCAGACTCAGAAAATTTAAACTGGTCTTAAATTATATCTGGGATGTTACAGCATTATGACACCTCCTATCTTTGTTTCACCTTTTTACTAAATGGGAGTTCAGTGGCTAGTGGGAAGAGGAGGAATGGTATAATCAGGGGCAAGAGGGACAGTCCAAATGAAGAGGAAGACTTCAAACAATGTAGCAAGGCACTGGAAGGGTTAAGTGCCTGTGACAAGTGGGCAGGACCCCAGCAGGACAATAGACTTTGTACAACATTGAAGGATGGTAGGAAATTAGTCATTGTGACTCACTATGAGAGAGTTGTACTCTGACAGTATTAACGGGGCTCAGAAGTGTTTGTATTAGGGTAGCCATGAGGAATTGTGTCTGTAAGATGTGAGGGGAGGGATGTCCCTCTTCCAGAAGAGCTGGCAAGCCAAGGCAGCTTGTAGACCAAAAGGAGGGGCATTAGGAGATGACAGGGCCATGATACCGTACCTGAGAGCAGTAGCTGCCAGTGGATCAGCAGCCTGTTTAACCTTTGTCCTTGAGGTTTTGTCAACTGTTTTCAAGGAAGATGTAGAAGAAAGGCGCAGTAGATGAAGGATGTTTACTGGGAGCTCTTCCTAAGGGCCTGGAGCTGCAGGGCAGAAAGGCAATTCCTTTGGCAGTGGGACAGATGTGGGCTGGCACCAGTATGTGATTGGGGGCCAAAGGGGATGTACTGATAATGAAGCCAAGAGGAAATGATGAGATTGTTGAAAATGGCAGCAGCGGGTCTGTGAGTGCCCAAGCGAGCCGGGAGCAAATGAAGGAACAGAGGTGATGTGGGAGAAGGGCACTAGTGTCAGGAACCTGAGCTGGTGGAGGTCGAGCTTGAATATGCTCGGCCGAATAGGAAAGACGTTGCTGCGCTAACCACGATCTTAAATAATGATACTCTGAATGAAACGTTTGCTACCTGAGTGGATAAGGAAACTGTGCCTTGGAGATGCTGTGACGGAAGAAATTATATGCTTAAGACATACTGTAGTTGAAAAGACCTGTGGCAAGAGGCATATACAATACTGGTTTCCACACTGATCAAAAAAGGAAAAGGGAAAGTACTTGTGAGTAGCCTTATTTTGGCTGGCTAGCTGCTGACATGGATGTCAGGGAGAGATGAGCCAAGAATGTCTTGGATTGAATTTTCATGAAGCCACTGAATAGAGCTGTTGGGATCTGTGATGCCAACATTTTAAAATCTTAAAAAGAGATGGGGGAGGGAGAGGACCCCATGAAAGATGTAAAAGAGAAAGAAAAAAGTACTGAAGAAACTGACAATAGCCGCTGTAGGATTAGTCTGCCCTGTTAATGCTCCTGCTGTCATCTGGGCCAAATATTTGTTGCTGAGCAATAAGTAGTCTAGCAGATATTCCTTTTCCCTTTAGAAATGCAGACGACTTTTATGGACAAGATTAAATGGAACTACTCAGATGGTAACAATTCAACACATGCTGAAAGTTTTGGAAAATGGGAGGTCAGAGGGGACTAGCTGTGGCAGAGTAGAACTGGGGTGGAGATCTGCACTCCAGGTAAAGCAGCATGAGACTGGCCATAAATAAAGTAAATACAAAGTCTGTAACAACCTTTGGTGTCTAGCTCACTTGTTTCTTCCAGTTATTTATATTTAGAGTAGAACACCCTCAGTATTCCCAGGGTACCACTAGGCATCTTTCTTAAGAAACTTTTCATTGAAGTGGAAAAATTGTGCTGAGAGTGCACTGGCTTTGGACCCTTTGTGGACTCCTTGTGCTGTTGTGGTGGTATAGCCCTCCCTCATCAGACCACTTGGAGATCTCAGAACCAGCCTTTATTACAAGAGCAGTGAGCTGGGACAAATTGGCACTTTTCTTGTCTTTGTACAAGAGCAGTGAGTTGGGCCGATCAGGCCCTCCCTGATTGCACCTGGAATTCCTGCTGCACTGGAATTGTGTAGTTGTTGGCAAGATACCAGAATTACCTCATGCAGATTGTGGCCAGGATGGAATGTTACTGATGACCAGAGTCAATCATCTTGAGACCCTATGAACAGCGGTACCAAGTGAAGCCCTTTGAGCTCTCTGGGACTGCAGTGGGCTGCGCACAGCATCTCCCTCTAAGTGGGACGCCTCTCAGAGCCCCTGAACTCCCTAAGTTCAGTTACCGTTGCTGATGGAACCTGGGCTGAATTATAAGGGTCCCTCACTCCTGAGGCCCAGCCTTCGCCCATTGAGAAAATCATTTGAAGTGAGTGTTTCACTTAAGGGGAACTTGAGGTACCTCTATCTATGCATATTGTCTGTGTGCGTGTGAATTAATTCACATCATGATATCCTACTATTGTGATTGTAGTGAATCCTTTTTAATAAATTTGTAAATGCTGAATTAACCAACGATTAATTGCTGCTGAACTCTTATGATTCTCTCTTTAACTGTGAACAAACCTTAAATTGCTGCTAGATCTATCATTTTGATGCCGTGAAAAGCTGGAATTGAAGACTCAATAGCTGGAAGACTATTAAGCAGGTATTCTTTATTACGGCGCCGGGCACACGGGGGATCTCTCCTCCAAATGTGTGCACTGAAAGGACACACTTACTAGGTATTTATGCTATGTTAATGTACACATTCATTACATTTGCAAGAAATGCTTATCATAGTTTTACCGAGAACTCATTAGTATATGATGATGTCTATCGCGCATGTTTGTTTGGCGTCTCTCGGTAATCGGTGGGGTTTTCAGATTATCCTGCAGCCTCCTTATCTCTGTTGTTTGTATACCTGCTCTCCCAAGGCCCAGCCGCCTAAAGGGATTATTCAGGAGTCCCTTATCTTGCAACCGTCCTGTCCCAATTATTCACAAAGAACCAAGACTTGTTTTGGTTGTGCAATGATTCTGACCACCTGAAGTGATAACATCCCCTACATGTTACATTTGTTACATTTACAGTTATCAATTTAGATATAAACTGTTGTGGTCTGGATCCAACCACACCAGGGCTTCTCTCTGAGAAGGAGTTTAGAAGGCAAGGGGGTCGATTCTGAAGCTTGTAACTCAACAGGAGAGTCTCCCTTACATCTTTCTTCAATGTCTGTATAAATCATTCTACCTCAATCCTATCTTGATTTTCCTTTGCGTATTCCAGTCATTTAGTGAGTAACGGTGGACCTTGACATCGAACTTTGTTAAATCACATTTCTATTAATTCCTATTAAAATCACTTCTTGCAAATACCTCCAAACCACTCATTTGTGACAACTGTCTCATGGACTACAGTTTGGGGACCACCACTGTATGCATTCACTGCAGTGCGGAGATGAATTCCAGCCTGGGGCAGGAATTGGCTCTGGCATGAAGGTAGATTGGTAAACATGGCATCCAGAGCATAGTAAGTGCTGCAGGAAGAAGCTGCCTAGCAACCCTGTGGGCACAGGGGGGAATAATCCTTACTGGTACAAAACTTCCTCATGGTTGACAGAGCTTCTGCAAGGCAAGGCAATTTTTCATACCTCAATTAACCTAGTATTCAGTCAGATTTTTTTTTTTAATTGATCATCAAAATAGAGTGTATCATGGTCCAGATAATATGATTTGAGAGAACAAAACAAAATGAGACCTCACTGCAGAATTTTTCAGGCTTACCCTGCAACTCAAGAATTCAGCTGGCGCTTGACCATATTAGAGAGTGGCAGGCTTTGGCAGGCACTGAGGAATTTCCTGACTTGTGAAAAGAGAGCACTGGGTATATAAGGCAGATCTTAGAAAATGATTGAAAGTGGAATTCTTTCCTGGTAAATTGGTTGATTGATGTGGAAACCACCTAGGTTTCTGACAGCCCAAGCACAGCAAGAAGGCTGAAAAATGGGGAAGAGAAACATGTAGAAAGCACATGATAAGAGAGTCTTTGAAGTTATTTTGCTGGTAAGCTTAAATCAGTTATGCTTTTAGAATGTTTTTATTAGTGGAGTATTTTTTTAGTTACAGCACCTACAGTCTGGTTGGAAAACTGAGATCATCTTTATCTCTCAAAAATTCAATAATTCCTCGGTCTTCTATGAATAACAACAGAAGCCTTAAATAGAAGGGGAAACACTCATGATAGTGTGTTTTTTTTTTTCCCCTCATATGTAAATCACATGGACTCAAATACTTGGTTTGATGTGGTGGTTAAAAGTAAGGGTAGATTGAGGGAAATACACTGTTGATGGAGCATTGAGTGAAATGTGATAACTTCTAAATACTGTTTTGCTATTTTTGGAAATACAGCTTTTGTTGTAATATGGCTGATACTATTGTTTTTCTGCTTTTAGACTTTTGCACCCACTTAGCTCCAGTGGCTTACTGTAATCATACAGCAATGAAAATATATATTTCTTATGGAAATGTGTGCTTTTCTAAAAGAAAGTGTAACTTTGGAGGTATGTGGAGAAGAATTCTCCTCTGAGCTGAATTTGACTCTTGAGCCATCTTTGTAGAATTTTACGCTAACTAGCACTTAGATTCTGCATGTCTCCTTATCATACACAGGAAAAGTAAATATACATTTTTGAGGGGGAGCCCAGACAATTTTAATTTTATTGCATTCAGACTTTCACTTCTTGTTTTGCAGCTACCCCATCAGGACCACTTTATGTCTACTCACCTAAATAGAGCTGCTTATAAATTTTCTGCACCTTTTTTTTGCTGCTTTCTCTCATTTGGGGCTGTTTTGTTTTTTTTTTTTTAATTTTATGCTGCATAGTGAAAAACATACACCAAAATTCGGTTGCGGTCTGTCCAGTCTAGTTGCTGGTTTAAAAAAAAATGCTACAAGCAGCATGCATTTTCAAAAGATGCAATCTGTTTTACTTCTGCCTAATTTTGTTTCACCTGTATTTTGTGCCTTTGGTTCTTGGTTACATTTTTTTTTAATGCAGACTATTCCTGTTAAATCCTTAACCCAGTTCCTGTAGCTGGTACATGTTCTTCAGAGGCTTAACTCTGGATCGTGCCAAGGGGAGAGGGCTCCCAAGTGTCAGTGTGTTTAAGATCCAGCGGGCAGCCTGTTACAGGACTGACTTGACTTAAAACAGTATGAGCAATGAAAGGGATGGTGTTTTGCCTTGCTTAGGAAGGTGCTGGTGGCACAGGAGTCATTGTTGCCCAGGCTCTGCTGCCTTCTTGTTGGTACCCAGGCGTCAGTTTGTGCGTGCAAAACTCGGCCTAAGTTGAAGAAGTTGAGATGTGTTGGCTACCAGTTAGTTTCCAGTATTTCAGTACTTCCTTGAAACTGGTCAAGTGTGTAGCCTCTTCTTGAAGGTCATTTCTCAAGAACAGACATGAGTGGCGGTAGGTGTTAAGCTCTTGACGTAATTCATGCAAATACCTTTTTAAAATAAAAATTTGAGAAGCACACCAAAACTGTTCCCCTTTCTATAACATTACTTTTCCTGTGCCAGCTGAAACTCGGGGTGAATGTTGAAAACCAACAGATGAGAGAAATCCATAGTTAATGCTTTAATTTGAGTGGTGATTTCTTTGTAAAGTGAAGGTACATATTGAGTTGTTTTCTTCCTTATTTTTACTAGATAATAAATATTTATAATTTCAAAGGTTAGGTGTTCGTGGTTGTTTTCCATAGCTATCTAATTTCACTCTGTAAATATTTGGTGTTTCTGCATCCCTCTCTTGGTTTTCAAATGCATAAGTATATGTGTGCAAAGGGAAGCTTCTGTAGCTGTGTTTGCAATTCTGTACGAATGGACCTATCTATGATCGCATTGCTTCTGTAAACATGCAACTGTCTGAAGCCATTGAATCCTTGGTGTCAACTGTTTTGGTTACAATTTGTTTTCTGACAAAAATCCACTGGGTAGGACTTGTGCTGACAAGCAGGTGTCACTTTCTGTGCATAGTTTTGCAAATCACAGCTCTGCTCTGGAGAGAACAGAGCATGGTTAAGGCCAACAGCAGTGTCACTGACTTCTATTCTGTCCTTAGGTCCTTTCTCACAACTTGTGCACAGTGTTAAATGTTCCCCACGACCCAGTGGCCTTGGAGGAGCACTTCAGGGATGATGATGAAGGACCAGTTTCCAATCAGGGTTACATGCCTTATCTGAACAAATTCATCTTGGAAAAGGTAAATTTTGAATTCTTGCGTTCTGTTTTTCGCTTTATTAGGTTTTGTGTTAGAGTATCTTTACAGTAGACTCCTGCTGCAGGAAGCGTGCTAGTGCGAAGACACTCTGGTTGTGAGTGTGCCTGTGTGGGGTCGTGATGGGGTGGTTACTCCTGGAGAGCCTGTGCCTGAAAATGGAATGGTGCACTGTTCTCTACTTCATTTTTATCTCCTTGGTTTCTATTACAGCTGATCATTGTCTGAGCTGTGTTCATGGAGTACAGCGTTCATATTAATAAAACACCGCAGCTTGAATTTGTTTGAAAGTGTCTTGGAGCTACAGGTTATCCTGCTTTATGCTATGGCTATAACAGAATATTTTCATAGACTCCTTTTCAAACAGGAAGGGCAAAAATATCTTTAATGTCTGTTCACAAGGTATTTTAATAAATAGATCCCTTCAAATAATTGCCGTGGGTGATGTTATGAAATGTTGTTAAGTTCCATCTTGCATATTCTTTCCTTTAGTGCCTGAGCACTCTTCAGTCATCTGTTGTACCTTGTTTTGGGGGAAGCTTTGGAAAGCCAGCAGGGTTTCCCCTGCTCTCCTCTGCATCTTGTTCTAAGACAGGTAGTCACTGAGTCAGAGCTGGGCTCTGGGAGCTGTGCATTGAAGATTTTGGGTGAAATTTTTTTAAAGTAAAAAAACCTATCTTCCTGCTTTTTTTCTGACAACTTCTGTTGAGAGAATGGTCTAGACGGTAGAAAACAGCCCACGTGACAGTGCAAACGTGAGCTTCAATACCACTGATTTTTTGTACACTTGGGGGCTGACCCCAGAAACCATCAAACTTTGATGTTGTGGCTGCATATACATAGATGTTTGCTTTCTTTTATGAAGTTAAGAAGTCCTGAACTGACATGCTGCTGAAAAGTCCAATGCAGCAATTGCAGATTATGCAAACTCCTTAGCCCTATTTGCTGATTTTTGCTGCTTCTTTAATCTACATTTAATACTGGTAGAAAATGTGATATATATATATAATGCAGTCTGGTAGCTTGGAAGCAGGAGAAGCTTCGTATATCTAGCTAAGACTTAACTGCTCCTCTGCCTCTCTAGTCTGTCTCATTCCCAGTAATAGTGTCCTGTTTTATGTGTGGGAGTTGTTGGCTGTTAATACACATAAAAGTACCCGCTTAATGTCTTGGTTGTTTGATGTTGGAGAATCTAGCTTTGTCCCTAAGAAGTTTCTGATCTCATTTCCACTTTGTATTGCCTGTCTGAGCTCCTGAAAGATTCAACTGAGACCAAGCAGTCTGTATACAAATTTTGGGGAAAACGAAAAGGCCTTACTTTTTGACCGAAAGATTACAGTAGTAGAGTCTGAACGGCAGTGGTTTTTGTTACTGTAGGCAGTAGCAGGTCATTAAGTAAAAAAAAACCAAAAACGATAGAGATGGAAGGCTTTTTCAAATATAAACATGCTTTATTGTTAAAGGGTGTTTATAGGAAGAACAGTTATGGAAATGAGGAGCAATTGCATTTAAATAACACTTCAGTTTGAAAATGAAAGACCTGGCTGCATAAGCAAGTTGGTGTGAATTTACAGTGTTGAGCTACTCTGGGGCACCTTCTTACCGCATGGTAAAAACAAAGGACAAGCTACCTTGCTTTCTCATGAAAGGAAAGAGCATGACTGCATGTAGTTTCTTGTGTTGTTTTATTCATACACTGATCTGGCTTCCAATAGTTGTCTGGTATACCCATACCATTAGTTCATCTTAAAAGACGAAAGTGTTAAGGAACAGGATTAAACTACCTATAACTTCATGTTATTTAATCCTGACGACATGCTTGTAAATTGTTTCAATATGTACTATTAAAAATTACTGAAATTTGAATGAAAATGACAGAAGGCTGGCTTTGTGGACTGGAAAAATCTTGATTGTGACATCTCATCTTTTAGAGGTGACAACATGCAGCAGGATGAAGTCACTGGTTCATAGCATGTCTTCTTTGTTTAAAACAAACAAGCAAAGAAAGCAAACAAGAAACCCCTTCTTATTTCCTTCTTCCAAGGCATAATCTGTTCTTTTCGATGGGGTGATTGTAGAACAATTGCTATTAATTTCTGCTAGTAAGCAAAGCTACTGAAGAAAGACTAGTGCTTTATAGTCCCACATACAGAGGAAGTTATCTCAATTTCCAATTATACATCTTCTGGTGGATTAATTGATTTGAGCAAGAGCAACATGCTCGAGATATTTTTTTGATCTCAAGATATTTTACTTTAAAACATTAGTAAAATATTTAAAGAATGAATCCTTAGATTTGTTTTAAAAAGATATGTAACTGTGACTTATCATTTTGTTGAGAGGACTTTGTAACATTTTGAAATAACTGCTGTTGTACTCTTAAGTGCAGTTGTAGCTTTTTATGTTTTGGTGCTGGCTTACCCTGTGTTACCCTGCAATAAAGCCTCTTTATATAGAAGCAAGGAGTCATCAAGAAAGGCACGTCGGTAGTTTAATAAGGCAAATTGGTTGCAACTAATTTCCTTTATCCAAATAGGGAATTTGAATAAGTTTTTTAATAATTAGTATTGCCTTGTTGATGATTTCTAGTATCATGCTGCTTGTTACTTAGCAGACAGATGTATCTAGGATTTTCCTGCATCTGAAACAAAATCTATTCTTGTTCTGTAAGTGTCCCTTTCAGGAGGGAGCTGTCGCTTGCCAGTATAATGTCTTCATAATTTTTTTTTTTACTTGGTTTCATAACCATATTTTAACATGTTCCATTATTTACAATGTCTGTATTTTAATACCAGTTGAAAATGTTTCCTTTTCAATGATGGTGATAGTGGTGTTTTACAACATGCCTTATTTATATCAGGGAAGAGTCATAGTGGGGTGAGACAAAGGAGGGCTTCGTTCTAAACCTCAGGTTATCTCCTTAGTGAATGCTGTTTACACTACCAGTGCTCATTATGTTTTAGGAACTGATCTGATCACTGGTATGTAAGCCAGATATTTTCTGTATTTCCTTATGTTTTAGGGTTATTTGGTAGGATATTGATGATGGTAAATTCTACTTTGCATACTAGTAGAAATTAAACATCTAGAAAATTGTATGGGTTTGCTGCATTTTTCTCTTGATTATTTTGTGAAACTTCTTAGAAAGGGAAGGTAGGTGTCTTTGATATATCATGCTTTTATCTCGAGAAGTTTAAGCAGTTTTAAGGTTGCAGGGCTTGGTTCATTTGCATATTTCATCAATTGGACAGATTCACAAATGAAAGTTGCACAGAGTCAGTAGTGTAGAATACTGTAGAAGTTTCCAAATGAAATAGTGACTTCACATAATTAGGACAAATTAGGAAGTACAGTTAAAAACATATACTAGTGCACAGGAAAAATCTCTTGTACAAAGATCTGTCCATTAATTAAGTAACAGAATTGTGTGACATCTACACAAGTTGCAAGCAGGATGAGTATTCTGGCCAAACACAATCTAAATTCCGGTTTCTCAGTAAAGTGTCGTAAATTTCTTATTTTAGTTTCACATCAAGATTATTTCAGTGTAGGATTCATGGTAGAGTGTCACTGTAATTAAAGATGTTTGGGGGAATCCTCTTTAAATTTAGATTCCAGGATAGTCTTTGACCCAGTTTGTTTTTATGTGTTTTGTTCATGTCATGAAAAAGCGATGTGTGTATTTGTTTATGACCCTTTTTTTGACGTTAGTACCTTCTGTTTGAAAAGGTTCTACTTTTACAGTTTCTTAACTTTGAAGTACTTTTGCAAATAAGTTCAAGTATACATGTAGAAACTGCTCAAATATTTTTAATTTTTGAAATGATGCTTAGAAATGATCTCTCATAAATCCAGAGAGATTATTCATTCAGAGCAATTATTATGTAGCCACCTACAGTGGACTATCACCAGTCAAGGAAGCCAAATTATCACAGGCAAGACTTTAGTATGGAGTTAGCTCTAATGCAGTTTGGGTTTAGTTGCTGGGTTTTCATCTTCCTTCCCCTTTCACCCCATGCAAATGTACGTGTAGAACACAGGTACCAGGAATAATTGGCATTGCTACATGAAATTGCTGAGGAAAATTTTTATTCTTTATTAAGGAGAACTGTTTAGTTCCATCCCTGACTCCCAATATCTCCAGAACAACAATTTTCTGATTATATCCTTTATTTAACAGACAGCCTGAACATTTAGGAAAAAAAACACAGATGCAAAATTAGAGTTGTTTTGGAGAGCCGGGACTTGTGCACTCATCTGATTATTGCTCCTGAATAATTCCTAAGCAATGCCTCTACTCCAGATGCTGCATAGGTCCCATGAAGTCCATTTCAGAATCAAGTCTGGATTCTGAAGAAAGGACTTGTATGTCTCAAGTGGGACCTCTGGCATGGCGCAACCTAGTTCACTGCAGTAAAATGGTCCTGAAACCTTCTGCTTGGCTGCTGCCTGATCCTGGTGGCAGTAATGTGCTGTAGGTGACCTGGGTTTTGACATGAGTTTCTGAGGCGCACATGGTCCAGCTTTGCTACATGACCACAAACCATGCGCTTTTCTTTACCCTGGCCAGGGCCCATGCCTTTCTCCACCTGTCTTCCTGTGGTCACTGATTGCTCCTGTGCTTTAAAACATGAGCTGCTCATGGAGCAACCCACCTTATTTATAGTGCTTAGAGCACTTGCCAGGTGGTGGCTGTAGGAAAGGAGATTTCGCACCTTGTTGGTGTCTTCCTTGGGAGTAACGTAACCACAAGGGCATTTCCAAGGTGGAAGTGCTAATCATCTGGGTGGGTGAAGTTGTTTTAAGAGAGAAGTCAAGCTTCATTGGGCAGGCTGGGGACAGACAGAAAAAATCACAGGCAGAAGTAGATGAGGGATGAACTGCTGTCAAATTGAAGGAAGGAGAAGGAAACCTGACTTCTAGCCCTTCTTCCAGAGGGTGTTTGTTTGCTCAGCTGGTGTTTCCTTTAAGACATGTTTCTTGTGCGAACAATCAGGATGCTGAGCTTCTGGCTGTAGCAACTATAGCTCATACAGCTTCTACCTTCTTCAAAGGACAGCTGTAGCCTGTAGATGGCCTCTTGCATTGTCACTTTTATTGGCCTGCTTTGCAAGCATGTGAAGTCTATGGCTTTCTTTTGTATTCCCACTTTCAGTCCTGGAAATTGTACTGTGAAGTGCTTCTTGGTGTAGGGTTGGTTTCCTGTTTCCTTATTTCTTTTTTTTTTTCCCTTCTTTTTTCCTCCACCCACATCAGTTCATCCACTTCCTTAGTCTGACTTAGCCACTGTGTCTCACTCTCCACTGTATTTGACCACTTACCAGACTGGATCATACAGTTTGCAATGGTGTCCTTGAGGTATCTGAGATGCATGGTTTAACCTATTATAAGAAAATGTCACTGAATATTACTGGTGGTGTTACCACAAGAGGTACAAGAATCTGTTCCTTAGACGTGCTTTCTGAAATCCCAAGGGAATTCCATTACAGCGCAGAACATGCCTTTATCAGTTACATGTGGGCAAAGAAATAGCATTGCTAAGCTGTAGTTAGATAAATAGATTTCGTCTCTAATATAAATGAGCGTTTAAAAATAAAACAGAGGAAATGAAATCTTTCACATTTGTAAATAATTCACAGATGGGCACAGTTGCTAGGTATGAGAAAAGATAACAAAAATGACAGGAATTTTTGCTATCAATAATGTGAAGATTTGCAAGTCTGAGAAAAAGGAAAGATTTTCAGTGGATTAGCGTTCAAGAAAAAAATTATTACATGTTTATGAATATCCTACAAGAGTTATGTTTGAGTAACGTGAAGTGGAAAAACATATTAAAGGTCTTTCCCAGCTATTGTTCCAATATTGCTTTCAGCATATCCACATGTAGTTTTGGCTATAATGGTTTCCAAATTTTCTGTATAAAATCTCAGTAATTCAGTGGAATAGAAGGGCAGCTGGAAATGAGACAGTTGTGAAGATGGTTTGGAAACATGCTAGAGGAAACGCAGAATGCAGTGTAGCCTCCTTCACATGAAGTCAGGGTGTTATTAACTCAACCAGAAATTGGAGGTTGAATGTAGATTTTGCTGGAAGAAATTCCTTAGTTGACCCCATGCAGGAAGTCAGACTAGGCTGATACAGTGCTCTTTTTGCGCCTTGACATTTCTTGCAAACTAGAATTTTCTCAGAGCTTTTTCTGTGACTTACCCTGTTAAACTTTGTCAGTCTGTTATTCTGTGCCATTCGTGCATATTAATTTTTTGTTGTTGTTCAATTTCTTCATTTTAGGTTCAAGGAAACTTTGACAAAGTTGAATTCAACAGGATGTGCTGGACTCTCTGTGCTAAAAAGAACCTCTCTAAAAGTCCTTTGATGATGAGTGATGAAGATGCGTTTAAAGTGTGGGCTATTTTTAACTTCTTATCAGAGGACAAATACCCTTTAATCATTGTACCTGAGGAGGTAAAAAACAAAAACTTAAGCTGTTTAACACCAGTTTGCTTAATGTTCCAGTTGAACTATGTTAATGTTTGCTACTCTCTAGAGATTTAAGAGAAAATAATTGTTTTATGTAAAACTTTTATTCTACTCTTTTAATAATATAAGGTCTTGGGTGCTTTTTCTTTGTCTTCCCGAGTGCATATATGGGGATTCACACAGGATACTTTTGATATTGATGGCTGCATGTGTCTGTCATTTAAACAGGCTGGACTAAGGGGGATGTGCTGCCTGCCCCCCCAGTAAATAGCTTATTTTGCTTATTGTGAGGACTAGCTGGTGCTGGCTCCACTACCAACACTTGGAGCTGTTGAGGTTCTTGCTTCACTCAGGGAATAGTGCATGTATGTGATCTTTAATCAGTGTACTTGCTTACATGTGATCAGAATTTTGCACAATTAATACATCAATGTGATTCTGAAAAAAATTCTCCCCTCTGCTCTCTGTTACCATGACTTGCAAGATGAGTCTTCAGTCTCATGTCACGCTCCTGATGAAAAGGAGAAGTATGAACTTTGATGATGATGTCTGTTTCTAATCAAAAGCAGCCACCAGCTGAACACTCTTGCTTGAAATGGTTGAACGAATAATACCAGAGATCTCTCTTTATACTTTAAGTCCATTAACAAGTATGGGCAATGCTCAAATAGGTATTTTAACCCTAAAGCAAGATTTTGATGTCTCCACAATTCTACCCATGGGGAAAGGCGAGGGAAGAAGCAGAAAGATCAGAACTGTAGGCATAAATAATCTCTTGCAAAACTGTATACAGAAATCCCAGGGGTTTGCAGTTCGGCACTGGAGTACTGATTAATAAATATTTGCAAATTTTTTAACAGTCAGGTGTCAAACCAGTCTGATTTACATGCCACTATCACATAACTGTTGGACTCCAAACTGTTGTGTCAAACCATAGAGTACAGATAACTCCCCTTCCCTATCAAAATAAAATGCTCAGTTTTGCCATATCCATCACTTTTTAGCGGAAGACTTTCACTCTGTACAAAGTTTCTATTTTTTTCCAGACTGGTGATGACAGGGCTCTACCTGGCATGCTATGTTCCCCTGAAAAATGGGACAGTCTTCTTGCTTGCTTTCCTGTTTTTGCAGTCAGTTCTGGGAGACAGGGATCATGGTTATAAAAGCTAAGACAGCTGCTTTCTTAAAGGTGACAGATTTGACTTTGGTAGAAGGTTGGAATCACTAATCAAACTGGGACTCAAATCCACGTCTCTAGTTTGTCATTGTGTTCCCCACTGCGCAGTCTGGCTTACCTGAGGGTAGATATTTCATATCTTACTTGTTGGCATGGTTAAAAGCTTCAGACCTGCTAGCTCTGGCGCATTGGCGTTGCTCACTTGCTCCTTCTCTCCCAAGTAAGCCCTCAGATTTGTGCTGCCTTCTGTAGCTGATGCCGGGTAATAGCAATGTGTCTGTTTGTTGGGAGATGGGCTGCAGTCGTCTCTGAGCACAAAAGAGGTTTTCTAGATTTCATAGCTGCTGTTATTTACCTGCTTTCCCATCCTTAATGTCTAGGGTTAACCTGTATTGCCCTTCTACTTGGAGTATTTTAAAAATTCGTGGGGCAGATCTGTGTCTGTACCTCCTTGGTTACGGCAAGATTTAAATTGTGCAATACTGTTTAAAGAAAGCTTATAGAGCCTGACAAAGAAAGGCTGCTCTGTTCTTATCAGCTACAATGCCTGTATTCACTCTAACCTTTTGCCTTACACCACACAGGTAATGTAATCAGCCGGTGGAGGAATGCTGTCTGTTGAATGTACTCCTTTCTGGTTTGCACCGGTCCTCCTTGGGTTCTCTGTGCTGCTGGAAAATTCCACATTTACTCATTTACCCATTTACATAAAATTCTGAAAGTAAAGATGTAAAGTCTCAATTTTGGTCAGTTTTGCTTTTTCTCTGTGTGACCTTTCATAATATGCCTTTTAATTTCTTATGTCTGTTTTTTTATATTAAATCTAAACTTCAGATTTGCAAATCATTTTTTCATACAAACTTGTAGTTGTTTTCTTAGTGCTGAGAATTTATTCCTGAAAATAAATCCTTTCAATAGTATTCAAAATGATACTAGTAGCTAGTAGAGGTATTTTCCTTTCCATTTACTTTTTCTGCCTCTTGAGTTCATAATAAAACTTGATTATATATTTAGTCTTCACCACTGTATATTGCATCCTATCATTTAATTACAAAATTGCTCACATGTCATGTGTAAAGTGAGGGGATTTTTGAAAAGTGAAGAACAGAGGAGAGGGTGATGGAAGCATCGCTGCTCTGTGATGTTTGTTTTTGGTGAGACCAATGTAAACCTTTCATGCGTGACTATAGCTTCCCAGCCAAGGAGCAAGCTTTTCTTTCCTCCCTGTCTGTTGCTCGTATCGTTGGCTGAGAATATTGTGGCACACAATTTACTGCAGTTTCTGGCTTGGAGTCCTTTGTGTGAGATCCAGCTGTTTCCCCTCCTCCTCTTAGGCTTTTGGGTTTCAGAGATTTTGTTTCCATGTTCTAAGTAACTTCGAAACTTGCCTCATACTTTCAGGTTGGAAGGGTAATCGCTTTTTGCTTCCCATCTCGTGGATGGGAAGATTATAATAGAACTTCCTAGGTCACCAGTGAATGTGTTGATACAACTTATTGTAGTTTAACCTGGCAGCCATCAACTAAGCACTAGACAGCTGCTTGCTCACTCCTCCCCTTCCCTCCTAGTGGGATGGGGAGGAGAAATGGACAAAAGGGAAAACTCGTGAGTTGAGATAAAGACAGTTTAATACATCAACAAAGGAAATACTAATAATAGTAATGATAATAACAATGAAAATAATAAATATGCAAAACAAACTATATACAACACAATTTTTCTCACCACCTGACAACCCATTTGCAGCCCAAAAAACAGTTTGAACTCCCAGCCAAGACAGAGATTCAAACTCCCAGAAACAAGAGAGAAAAGGTAGCTTTCTCCCTCTGGCCAACCCCGGTTTATAAACTGAGCATGACGTCCATGGTATGAAATATTTCCATTGGCCAGTTTGGGCTAGCTGTCTGGCTATGCTCCCTCCCAGCTCCTGCATACCTGCTCATTAGCTGAATATGAGAAACTGGAAGAAGTCCTTGATTTCATAGCAACAACTGTAAATATCAGTGTTATCAACATTCTTCTGGTACTAAATCCAAAACAGAGCAGCTACTGACAGAAAAATTAACTCTATCCCAGCCAAAGCCGGGACACTATTTCATGTGGCTATGATAATGCTTTCTCTTCCTCCTCCTTGGAGGATCTACCTTTTGAGACCACCTTGGGAGTGTGATTTCCTCCTCCTCCCTTTTTTTTAAATAAGTGGTTTGTCCACTTAAACAATTTCATATCAGGAAAACTCTCCTGCTTGGGTGCAGTTTTACCTTCTTTGGACTGTGCCGACTAAAGATTGAGGCTGCTGTCCTTTCTTCTTGCCTGTGTTGTGTACTTTTGCATTAGTGCTACTGTGCTGGGCTTTTCATATTAGCTAATTGTGGTGGGGCTGTTAACCCATCTGCAAAGTGTTAAGTCTTGATTCCCTGCCCAGGTGTTGAACGGGCAGCACATTGGGAACAGCTGCAGCTCAACTAGAGAAGGGAAACAGGCTACTGATTTCAGAGATGCAGGCCAAGGAAAGCTTTAGAAAGAGCAAAGTGAGGAAAGTAGTTGCAAAGAGGGAATTTGAAAGCAGTGAAGAGGTGACGCAAGGGCCAGAAGTTGCTTGTTTAGCAGAGGCCAGGCTAAAAGCCAGAGGCAGCATCTGGCCAATGCTTCTCACCTGTCATGGAAGGAGAGATGGCAGTGCTGCACTTGAGGGAAATAAGGTTACTAAAATTCAGCATGGGAAAGGGCCTGGGTTGGGGTGTGCAGTTTTGGGATGTGACTTCAAGCTAGAGAGGATCCCTCTATGCTGTGGGGAGAAGTCAGGTCACAGAGGGACAAGAGCTGGTGGCTATGCAGGGCATCAGGCTTGGCTGATAATGGCCTTGGGCTCCAGTGTAGCTTCTGCTGGTGACTGGTGGGCAGCTGAAACCAGTTAGGAGAGTTGGAAAGGAACACAGATCCATTAATATCTATTTTGCAAAGGTGCTCACATCCCAGGGAAATGCAAAATAGTATCACATTTGCAATCTCCCTCCCCTTTCAAGTGAGAAGCCTTGCTATGCATGAAGTGAAATACTTCTGTGAACTGGTTGAATGCGGTATTTCAAAGAGATATAGATGGACTGGAGAAAAACAATGCTGTGTTTTGTTTGCTCTAGTTAAAATTAGTCCTGATGGACAGCTTTCAGAATTACTATAATTCTTGGCTAATAGAATTGCTTTACCAAGCAGCTGTATCACTAATGCGCCCAGAAAGTGGGGGCCTGGGTGGGAGCTCCTTCCACTCCCCACAGCTGGTCCTTTCCACTAGATCAGCTGAGATGCAGACATCCGAGTGTGTGTTTCCTTCAGCTCTCACAGGCATTACCTCTTCCATGAGAAGGGTAAAATAAAGGGAAGAAAGGTGGAGAGAACTGTAGCCATAAGAGGAGAAATATTTCTAGTCTGTCATCAGCTTCCCTTACAACTCACCTCTTAGTTGTTACAGACTCATTTGTGTGCCTTGGTATTGTTTATCAGATGTTTTCTGTTTTATAAAAAGGTTTCCAAACACTTCCCCTTTCTTATTTCTGGATGTGTGACTGCAGTCTTGGGAATGCTTTATTGCCTGAAAGCAGTGGTATGTGGTTAGCTGTGTTTCTGGGCCATCCTTAATGGTGAAACTCGCAGATACGTACACTGCAAGCTGCACACTCTGAGTGTTGTAATATAGTGTTCACGTAACTTGTTTCAAATAAGCCAAATGTATTTGGTGTCTGCTTTGTAAGCCTCACTTCTTGAGGAAAGAAGATTTGTAAAGCCTTTTTTCACTTGCCTTCTAGCCTGTTAATACATGTATTAACATGTAGCATTTCTAATCCTATTGGCTTTCTATGCATTTGAAAATGAGGTGATGCTTTTCAGACTAAGGAGGTGAAAGTCTGAAGCAGTCCAGTGGTGATTCTTCTGGAGGCGTTCCTTGCAGAAAAAGGCTTTTTGCGACCTTCCTTGTTCTGCATTCTAGTATCATAAACTGATACAGTGAATGAAATACTGGGAATTGAACCTTGGCCGTTCAGAAATAAAATCAAAACTGATACAGCTAGAATGAAAGCTGCTTGCATGGGCTTTTAATTGACCCATGACCTCTACAAGTTGATGGTTAGAAAGATGTTTGGTTATTTATGACTTGCGTCTGTTATTCCCATTTCGCTACTCTTTTCCTTGATTCCTGCAAAAAATAAGACCATATTCAGCTTATACAGCAGATTGTCCTTATATTACTTAATGCTAATTTTATTTAAATAAGATAATGGCTTACACTGCATAATGAACACAGTTGTCACAGTCTATTAATCCAGAGTAGTTACTGTCCATGAAGTCTAATAAATTCTAGTATGGGGATTTTTTTGTTGATGGAAAGGAGGAAACAAGTATTTGACTTAAAAGTAAGTGATCTGCTGATGGGTTGAGAAAAAGGAATTGGTGATGACTGTGAAAGGGGATATAACTGCTTTCATGTCTCTTGCCCAGTAACGTGTGCTTCCACAGAATTTTGTACAATGTGAATAGACTTTTTATTTCTGCTCTGTTAATATCACAAAGTTTATTTAAATAGCGTGAACCAGAATAGCCTTGTCTGCCATGCTCTGCTGGGCACGAAGGCCTCCTTGACATCATTTTTCATCTTCTAAGAGACCCACTTGTATATCAGAAAAATATGTGAAACATCTATGATATGTGATTCCCCATGGAGGACAGTGCCAGGAATACCTGGAAAAGCAAAGCAAATAGGTATGGAAACACGGGAAAAGAAAGTGCCCCCTGAAAGAAGGTACCAAACAGGCTGCATAGCTCATGTGAAAGAGCCTCTGTTCTTTTTTTTTTTTTTTTTTCCTTGGCAAATTCTGACTGAAAAGTTTCTGTTAATTTAAAATGGAAGCTGTTTTTCATACTGCGGAGCCAGTTGGTCCGTACTGGCATATGTAGCATTAGCAATCTCCTTGTGGTTTTACATCTGTATCTGAAAGTGAGTAAGGTCCAGTCTTCTGATGTTGCTTCACATTTGCTTTTTGACACTCTACTTTTTAACCACAAGAGTAGGTTATGTTTGAGCCAGTAGACTTAATTTGTTGGTTATTTGCTGAGTTGACATGACTCTTTGTGGAGGAGGGGAAATGTCATTTGCTCTAAGAGGTTCCTCATTTGAGTTCATAATGTATGGTCTATTCTTTGCTTCCACACTTACCGGATCCAACTTCTTTACTGTTTACTTTATGCAAAGTCATACTGTTGCATATTTATACCCCACCCCAGCACTCACTGTTGCTATTGTGCAGATACGTTAGATAAAGTTTTTCTGGGGACTTTGGTTAGCCATGTACTTCTCTGAATGCAAGATAAAGCTTGATTTTTTTTTTTTTAATTTTAGAAATTAAATTGTAATATGCATAGGTCCTTTTTCAGTTATGACAAGTTAATGTATTTTAAAATAATTAGATATTTTATGTACTTTAATGGGATTTGTGGTCACGTTAGTGATGTGTTGATGGGGATCTTCAAATGGCAGGCAGGCATAGCACAGGGCTGAAAGTCATCTTTGCTGATTACCATGAACATTGTACCCTGTGTTAGTTGCACTTGCCCACAGTTTGAATGCCACGTTTGTAGAAGCCTCTGTTCAAATTGTATCTTTGCTGGTAAGAATTGCATGAGGAGCTAAAAATACTTAAATGCCTTGCTCAGGGAAGCTGAAATGAAAAGCAATGCTCTCTACAACTTCTGTACCCACCTTGGAGGCATATTCTGTGCCTGGTTAGCCTGTATTCTCCTAAGACACTGTTTACGAGGAGGATACGACAGCCACATCTCAGAGGGATACACGCTTCCTGCTCATTCAACACAGCAGAAACTTTCCTCTAGACAGTGCAGCAGCTTTCAGTAGCTTCTCCATTTTGCTGTAGCAAAATGTGCTACTATAGTAAGGACTGTGAGACTAAGTTACTGAGAGAAAATAGTGAGAAAAGCCCACCCATCTGTAGGATGAATTTGGTAATTACTGCTTTGGGATGAATTTGGTAATTACTGCTTTGCCAGATGAGTGTGTTCTGCTACACACTTGTGTATTTCTTGATCATAGATGTGAGAGAAAGGAAGAGATCTGCCTGTACCAGTTGCAAGAGAGAGAAGCAACAGTCACAAAACTAGCGTGTATGCTGTATCAAAACCTTGAGGGCTGGGAGCCCTTGTGGTGAAACGTGTGGGGGAAAAAACATTTTTTAATTTCTTTTTACTCCCAAAGCTCTTACGTAGAGACTGCTGGGTGCTCAAAAGCCTGCTGAAAAATGACTCTGATCTGTATCTGAGAAGTTAATTTATTCTGTGGTGAAGCATCCTCTGGCTCTCTCAGCCAGGGTTTTTCTTACCTGTAGGAGAAATTACATTGCATTTTCAAGCAGTGCTGAGGAACAGAGGTGAACCGGCATTGGTGATTAGAAAAATGAAGTCCTGGAAATACTTGATTTCCACCACTTTTTAACAAGGCATGTTCGTGCTGTACACCTCAATAATTTTTGATAATGGGATTCAGACTCCTGAGTCACTTAGTGTTTCCAAAACCACACCTAAAATATGTGAACTGAAAGTGGAGCAGACTGTCGTGAAGGACTGACCTTCAGAAAAGCAGCACTTGAGGGAATTCGTGTGTTCCCACGTGTGCAGAACCTGTGAAAGGATCGTGGTGCTTTCCCTCCCCACCTCCAGCAGGCTGCGTGCAGTTCCCACTCTGCAGCTAAGCAGGGCACCCGGCAGGAGCCCTGTCCTTTGCAGCCTTGTGGGCCGACCTACCAGGTCTGTACTGGCCTGGTGGTGGCTGGAGAGAAAGGCCAGTCTTTGGGGGAGCTGGTGCTGCCTCGTCCCTGCAGTGAGCTGCTGCAGGAGGGTGCTCCTGTGCTGGGTTACTGAGCACCCTCTCCCCAGGCTTCCTCCGGAGGGAGGGCACAGGCGGCTTGGCTGGTTGCTGAAGGCAGTCGAGTTCTCTGAAGTGGGGAGCCATTACCCAAAATAGTGGAATGCCACATTAGTTTGGTCTGTGTTCAAACTGGGTTAAACGCTGTAATTGGTATCCTGTGACTTCAGTCTTCAGTCAGAGAAACTTCAAAGCATGGCTTTTGCTTTGCAGTGTAGAGGTCTTTGTAGGAAGGCTCTCACCAATTATTTTGTTTAAAGAGCCATTAAAATTGTTTTACATGTGCCCAAAGCTGTAGATGAGCTTAGTTTGAAATACTGCCTTGTTTAAAGAGTGAACAGTGATGAGTTTAAAAACAACATAAAAAACAGACAAAAGAAGAAATCCAGCCTTCTTTCCCTCATTTTCACACTTGTGTTTATTTTGACTAGTGTTATTAGTGTTATTACCCTGTGTATGGTAATGCTACAGAATGATGAAAGATTAAATGAAAAGGAGAGTTTATTTTGGAAACAATAAAAGTGGACGTGAAAAATTTGTTCTTTTACTTCTCTTGATACATCTGCCAAGATTGTGTCCAGTGATGAAGTGCTTGAGAGCTGGAGAAGAGGAGTCAGGTGAAGACTAAGATAAGTGATCGAACCTGGGTAGTTTTTCATTTAACTTACTGTCCAAACTGCCATCTTTTCTTATTTTTTCTAATTTGCTGGCTTTTTATCTTACAAGAATATTTTTTGAAACTTCTTGCTTTCTCACACTTCAGTCATCACAGTTTGGAAGCTGTTGCAGGGAAGGTCCCATGTGTTCGGTAAGAATCTGAAATATTAAAATAAGCTGTCAGGTTCAATTCTTTGTTTCTTTACTATGAAGACAGTAGCTGCGGGATGAGCTTGGCAGTCAAAAGTTCAACCGAGACAGGAGCTTAAAATCTTTGCTCATTAAATCACCTGTGTTTATGGGCTTACGTGTGAACGTGGGAATCTAGCTGTAATGCTAGTCTCTAGAGAAGCTTAGTTTACAGCTCTGAAACACTTGATTTCCATGTCTGTTGAAAAGAATTAATTTCTGTTTGTATTTCTGTACAGATTGAATATTTACTTAAAAAACTCACTGAAGCAATGGGAGCAGGCTGGCAGCAAGAGCAGTTTGACCATTATAAGATTGCTCTCAACACCACTCAAGAAGGTCTTTCTGCATGGGAGCTAATTGACCTCATTGGAAGTGGGCAGTTTAGTAAAGGGATGGACCGACAGACGGTATCCATGGCAGTGAATGAAGTCTTCAGTGAGCTTATATTAGATGTACTCAAACAGGTAAGAACCACAGAGAACTAATGTTTTCAAGTAGAACAATTTATTGCATAATTGGAAAATGTCAGACATGTACTGAGATTTCTTTACCCGATGATAATGAGCAGGGGGAAATTAGGTAAATTACTGTCCTGGGTTTGGCCAGGACAGGGTTAATTTTCACCAGAAGCCAGGAGGGAACACAGCTGGGTGGGCTGACCCAACCTGGCCAAACAGAGCAGGGAATTCCATACCAGGTGCCATCATGCTGGGTTCTGGCTGGGGGGAGCTGGGCGGCAGGAAGGCAGTCGTGGCTCAGGAGCGTGCGCGTCAGTGGGCGGTAAGAGTGGCTCTATGCGTTCTGCTGTTTGTGTTGTGTATTCTCCTTATCAGTATTGTTGTTACTGCTCCCTTTGTTTGCTGTTCTGTTAAACTGCCCTTGTCCCGACCCACCAGTTTCTGCCTGTTTTCTTTCCATTCTCCTCCCCACCCCAGTGGGGGGAGGGGTGGCAGACTGGCCACGTGGCGCTTTTGTTGCCGGCCTCGGCCAAATTATAACAATTACTTACAAGGGTTCTTTAATTTGAGCTTATTTTTATAAAAGATAAAGTGTTGCTGTTCAGATTGTTGCAGTATTATGAATGAGTTGCTTGTTGGGAGAGGGTTTTTTTTTTAGAAAGTTAGTGTGCTCTGACTTGAAATACAGCCTTTTACTAGTATCAACTGCTTCTTAGCTGACAGAATATCTACAACACGCTGTCAGTTCTTAAACTGGTGACAGCTCTTCAGTCTTTGAAAATGCTTTTTTCTAGTTGCAGTAATATTTTAGCAAATACAAGTTGTGCTGATGATAACCTCTGTATTCAAACAAGGAGTCTGGTCAAAGGTATTGCTCCAGCTGCTTCAAAGTTTCCCCACTTCAGCAGGGCAAGAAGAGCTCCAGAGCGATCTCTCTTCTTGTTCTGCTTAGCAGGCTACGTGAATGACAACTTATTTACCTGTACTCAAACACAGGAAGTCATGCTGGCCTTTATATTCTTAGCAAACTTCTGTCAGTCTTCAGTTTCTTCAGATTTCCAGTGGCTGGATTATCAGTTTAGGAATGGCTTTAACAACTGTCTGTCTTTCATGGCAAGTATAAATATCATAAGGAGCTGAGGGGTGACAGCAGAGCTTACCTAGAGAGCTATTTAAAATTTACTTTTACCTGACAGAGAATTTTTTTCACCTTTGATTTCTTGACTTCTTGGTGAGGAGAGAAACAAAGGCTTTCTTGGCAGACTTTCCTAAGCTGTTCTCAAGAAACCATCAGAAGGTCTTGGCACAGGAAATTCTTTCTGAATATCCACAGAACAATGCAAAAGTCTATTTTTGTTGCCTGTTTGCCGAGTCTCAGCATACGTGAAAGGACAGGAACAATTCTCACGCGCATTGGTAAGATGCACAGTCAGATACTTTATTCTCCCGCTCGTGCGGTTATATACATTTCCCATATCTGTCCACACGATTACGCTTACATCGGATAGGCTACAGACATAAATCACACACTGTTCACACGCCCCACATTCCCTTATAATTGGTAACTACACTAACGCCAATAGCAACAGACTGCCTCCACGTCCTTGAACACATCTTGTTTTTGCTAACTTTCTCAATTGTTATTCTTAGCTGTCCTTTCCAGCGGCCTGTTCAGTTATGCTAAGTGTTTTGCTTAAGCGGCCTAGTCATGCTAACTCTCAAGCTACATCGACCCCAACATCTCCCCCTTTTTCTTTTCAAAAAAAGCTAAGCTGTCTTATCATTATCTTAAAAACATTTGCTCAATTGGTGTTAGTTGCATCACAAAAATTTTCTTCACAGTTACCTCTAGTGCCTCTTGTGTTATGCGTATTATACACGGGACCAACATAATCACTGCCATAATCATTACAACAATAAGCAATAACATTTTGTTTAGTGACATTAACCAGCCAGAAATTCCCCATCTGTTTCCTGCTGCATCAAATACTTCCGCAGCCCCAATAAATCAGAATGCAGATACAATAGTCTAAAGGCAGAACCCAGAAAACTTACCAAACCAGAAGATGCAAAGGCAGTTACTTAGTCCAGACAAATCCATTAGATCACAAAAACCAAATAAATCCATCAGAACACAGAAATACAAACACTATTGACAACAAACACATAAAATTACACATTTATGGTCGCGACCACACACACACACACACAGACACACACGCAGGCACACCAAGTTTTCAACATAAATCCAAATATTACAAAGACTTATGAACAGACAGCAGGCAGGCAACAGAAGTGATACTGGAAGAATGCCTTTGTCTTATTAATAGTCCCTGCTCAGAACTTTTTGGTCCAGTGATCAGAGGTTCTCCCTGAGAATCCCTCGGTGCTGGCTGGAGGTCCTGCGATCCCTTGGACCATTGATGTTCAAGAGCAGGGTCCTACCTGGGTACCCAAACTCTACTACCAGAAAGGAGCAAAATAATTCACACTCCAAAACTTAACTCCAGAGCCCTAGAAAGCAGGCACTCATATTGACACTCGTCAGATAGTACAGATAACAGCTATACATTGTTAGGATGTAGTGCCTTCAACCATGTGGTTAGCATCTTTGTTAACCGGGTCCACTATCTTTTTATCACCTCCCCTTCTTCTTCCGTGTTCAAGATGGGTTTGATCCATTTTGCCGGCACCCACTCCGTCTGTCCATTATCTGTAGAAATACAAGCATATCCCCTCCCCCAAGTGAGTAGTCGTACTGGACCTTCCCAAACCCCTTTGTCCAGGCAGAATACCGTTACTAACACCACATCATTGTCACAGACATTTTGTTTGTTCCCCTGTGCCGAACAGCTGGGGGGTCACTATGACCTGCTCTAACATTCAACCAATTCAGGACAAAAAGGGGTTTGTGTAGACAGTCTATCGGGGATTGCTTTCCCCCCCTTTTTTAAAATATTTAAATGATCTTTTAGTAAGCGATGGGAACGCTCAACAATAGCTTGACCGGTGGAGTTGT